ATCCAATGATTAAAAGTATCCAAATATAAGGCTTATCCTAAACATATGTACAGTTTTGTTATATATTAGTGAAATGAAAAGTATGGTGGATAATCTTATCTAATCTTACCATCTGCAGTTTACTCATATTGCTAAACATGGACGGTGGCCTATGTAATGTCTACTAGACACTCAATGTGATAGCTAAATATTTGTTAATGTGTTTATTCTGCACAATCTATGCGAAGTTATTCCCTCGTGTAAGTAATATATGATCTTTTGCACGATGACACGGTCTGACATATTAAATTTTACCACTAATATTCTTTCCAATATACTCTGTGAAATATCACTAGAATTACAATATTATAAAAAGATGATTGTAAAAGTAGTTAAACATATTTTACCAGCTCCTATAATCTCTACCTCCCAATGAAAAGTTTAAAAATATTTACGTGTTGTTTGGTGATAAACATGTTTTATGGTCAAAGCAAATTTCTTTGTATTATATAATCCCTTAATTTCCATATGTTACCTGGTATGGATTTTTCGTAAAAAATAGTTATGGATGTTGATATATTATAGGGAATAGATAATGAATATAGGATTGGTGGATAATCGTTTCAGATGTATTTGTTGGTCTATTTTTGTAAAGTATTCTTAACGGTTAAAGCGCCAAACATTGTATGTTGAACTATAAGGTAGTTGGAGGCTGAACTAGACATCCTATGGAATTTTACCTACTTCATATAGAATTGTACCAACAGGAGCAGGTGGTATGACCCAAGAGGTTCCATGTTTGATCAGGGGGAGGGGGTGCGACTACAATTAGGTGAGCATGATTCCTTGCATAACTCTTGACAATGGACAAGAATCACTTGTACAACCAAACTTGAATTATGGTTGCATGATCAGATGCAATTGTCCGAGGTATACGATGTGAACCACAAGGTATACCATGAAAAAAAGGTAGAGGGAAGATCTCATGCTGGCAAAGATGTAAAGTCAACAATACCTAACCAGGACTCCCATTTTTTACAATCTATCACGCTGAGTGAAATTGTATTGAAAACCAAACACATCCTTGTGATTACCGTGTTTACAAAATTTGTGGAAACATGTTAGTCCAATGAAATTGATGCATCGAATCTCTGTATTACCCATTTTGTTCGAATAGGTTTGTAGTTGAAAAGGGGTACGTAAAAAATGGTGACAATGGTGTCTCCCTAGTGAATACTAAACTGGTGATACAAGGAACAATCACACGAGCTCATGCCTGTTCACTTCATTATCAGGCTGTTTCGTTCTTAAGGTTACAATATCATGATTTCTTTAAAGGGGTACAACTATAAATAAACTCCTGTGATAATTCAGGGGGGAAGGATTGCTTGTGATAATATTATTGTGCTTAAGAACGAAGGATGTGCATACTATGGTAAAAAAAAACGAAGGACATGCGCACAGTAAAAAATGATGATACAATACAAAAGGTTCCAATTTGGCCTGCCACGCAGACCCAAGTTGAAAAGGTTGCCCATTGATTCCTGGCTTCGTTTGGGTGCCATGAAAAGGTATTTTCGATTTATCCTCAAAACTAAATTTAATCTAGCGGACCGCACTTGCAAAAACAGTGCCTACTTTATTCTGTAAACGAGTACTACGATCAAACATGCATACATGCCATATGGACTATACGATACTATTTCTTGCGCTTATTCTCGTGATTCTCCTGTGGCCATCTCCAGTTATGTATCAATAAGACAGTTATACTTTTCCCCTAAACAAAAGGACAAACCATGTTCATCTATGAGGAGATTGATCATTCTCTTGATTGGTGAACAACGGACAATATTATTATCAATTCTTTACAATTACAGGCTTGATAAGCTGATCAAACAATTGGCTTGCAATTTGCCTCACAGGCTTGCAAGCTAGGGTAGCATACATTTCTACAACAGACCTTCGATGGGCAGAAAATGTTGCATGGTACGGGTACCAAACCATTTATATTGACATTGTTGCGTCCTTCATTCATGGTGGCACTCCTGGTGTAATCCAGATTATTACCTGAAAAATAAAAAATATTTTACTAGGAAAGCATGAAAGATAAAGAAAAACCGTATGCAATACATGGATATGTGAAGATGGATGTCCAGAAGAAAATTGGAAACACAAATTTTACTATGAAAGATATGTTTCTTTAATACATCGTGATTACCACAGAAGAATTGAATAATTGTGAAATCAAAATAAACCTTGGATTCACCATTGAGATTCAATATTAGATAGTAGATTACCATACACGTGGCCAAGAATGCTAAAACAGCCTAGAAGGGCCAACAACAGAAGCAGAAGTCCACGGCTACAGTTCGGCATCTGCTTGCCCATTTGTGTGATTGCTTTGTATGAAGCTTTGGCTTGTGTTTCTTCTTTGTTTTACGATGGTTATATAGACAACACAACTGAAATAAATAAGCAAAAGTAATCCAATGATTAATAGTATCCAAATATAAGGCTTATCGTAAACATATGTACAGTTTTGTTATATATTAGTGAAATGAAAAGTATGGTGGATAATCTTATCTAATCTTACCATCTGCAGTTTACTCATATTGCTAAACATGGACGGTGGCCTATGTAACATCTACTAGACACTCAATGTGATAGCTAAATATTTGTTAATGTCAGGCTAGCCGGAGTCGGCGTGACCAGGGTTCTGGTTCGGCCGAACCAGGGCCGGCCCAGTAGGCCTCCAGATTTGGCAGGGTCACTGACAGGTGGGTCCTTATGGCGGTTTCCAGGACGGTTACACCTGACTTGTGGGCACATCTTATCCTTAAGCTTGCTTAGGAGTGAGTTTTCCTCGTTTCTTCTCCATTTATGTATTAATCTCTGCAAACAAAATATACTCCAAGTACAAGTGGAATTATATTATTCTAGAACAAATATGCATTGCAAGCATAGCAAGTTCTCCTTTATTTTAGTTATATTGACGGTTCAAATTGGTTCGTAACGACCGTCAAACCTACGGTATATTTGCAAGGGATACGATTGATTTGGCGGTGGCCACAGCAGCGGTAGCCAGGGTGGATCAGACGGCGGGGAGAAGGTGGTGGAGGCGCAGTGAAGGGCGGCGGCAGGAGGTTCCTCAGCTCCTCCTTCACCACTACCGGGCGGGAGCAGCCGGGTGGGGGATGGAGCGGCGGGCGGGAGTAGGAGCCGCAAGTAGCTCGGCAGCGGTGGATATGGCGGTAGGGAGCACAGAGGCAGTAGATCTGTCAACGGGGAGGGCGGCGGCAATTGGGAGGGACGTCGGCGGTGGGGACCTCAGTGGCAGCTGATCTGGTAATGGGGAGGGCGGTGGCGGTTGGGAGGTGCGACAGAGGTGGATTCGGCGGCGGGGAGTTCCCCGGGAAGGGGACTCAGAAACACAGATGACAATGAGGAGCTGTCGGGCTTTGACGACAACGATGATGAGCTGTGCTCAGCTTCGGCAATGGAGACGGCGGATGTGATTTTTTGGATTTTCACTTTTTTGTGAAATTAATTTTTGCGTGCGGGTGCACCAACCGTAGGAAAAGTATTGATTTTTACAAACATCTTCGGGCAGACGGACAGTCTTACCGCATGAAAAAATAGGTTTTAGTTGTATGCAAAAATGCTTTCTTTTGAGTAGCGTCACATGCTTGGTTCGTTCAGTCCACGTGCTGAATAGTGTAGTTAGAGCGAGAGATGGAACATCCAGTATTCCAATGGCTCCAACGGGCTGCCAGCAATGAGAATACCATCATATTTGTAAGGATGATGTAATTAATTAAGACACTTTCTGATAAAATAAAGGCCAAATAGATCTGCTTGGCCCAGAAATGCAAGGTTGGGTTGATAATTGAAGCTAGTTTGACTTGTCTTGGAGACTCTTAGGTAGTGTTTGGTTGGTGGGATGAGGTGGGATGGGATGGGATGAACCCACTTTCAGGGGTGTTTGGTTTAGGGGTGAGTGGGATGGGTTGGTCCCTAGAGAGGAATATTCCTCTCAGATCCGGGACCAACTCATCCGGCCAAAACTGGCGGACAAACTCGTCCCACCTGGGACGAGCGAACGGCGTGACGACGCTGCTCGCGCGCTCACCCTGCTCGCCCTCAGGAGACGGCGGCGAGCTCATCGACGGCGGCGGCGACAGGCTCGGCAGCGGCGGTGGCGACAGGCTCGGGCGACAACGGCAGACTCCACGGCGGCGGTAGGCGACAGGCTCGGCAGCGGCGGCGTCCGGGGGCTCGGCGGCGCCGGATCTTGTGGTGGGGAAGGCGGCGGCGCCGGATCTGACAATGGGGAGGGCTCGGGTGGCGGAAGATGGCTCGAGCGACGGTGGAAGGCTCCAGGGCGGCGGATCCGACGATGGGGAGGGCTGCGCTGACGGAAGACGGCTCGGGCGACGGTGGCGACAAGCTCGGAAGTGGCGGCGTCGAGGGGCTCGGCGGCACTGGATCCTGTGGCGGGGAAGGCGGCGGCGGCGGATCCGACGATGGGGAGGGCTGCGCCGACGGATCCGGCGGCGGCCCGGCCGTCCGTCGTCGTCCCCGAAGCTCTCGGCGTCGTCGTCGTCGTCGTCCGTCGCTAGCCTGTCCCTCTCCCTCTCCCGTGCGGACCTCGCCGCCATCATCGTCGCCGAGCCATGGCTGCTCCGCGCGAAGGTCGACGCCATCACCCGCCGCATCGCGTCCCTTCGCGACCGCAGCTCGGTGGCGGAGATAGAGGTGAGGGCAGAGGCAGCGGCGGCCATGGTTGTTGCAAACGGCGTCGTCAGTGGTGGCAAACGGCGTCCATCCCATCCCTCCCTCGTCCCTTCAACCAAACAAAAAACTGGGATCGTCCTATTCTATAAACCAAACACGCAAGTGGAATCATCCCAACCTCAAAATCATGGATGGTTTCATCCCATCCCACCTAGTCTCAGAACCAAACACTACCTTAAGGATGCCGTCTAATAATCCTACCCGAGAGAGCCGAACATGAGAAAACGTTTGACGTATCAATCCATTACATTACATTGCCCTTTTCACATCATTACAATTTCAGGCTCAGCTCAGACATTCAGTAGAACAAAACGGTTCCTAATAATGCAGCTTTCTTGTTATTGTTTTATTATTAGACATGTTATGGAAGAGAAAAAACTCACAACCGAGAAACACAAGCAAATAAACCATACACCAAAATAGGTTGGCACCCACAAAGCACACACATATATCTAGCTTTGGTAATATTTATAAGCGGATCAATTTCTTCCGTGGCCAAGCTGCTGCAGGAGTTGTCCATGCCCCCTCCCATTAGCGTTTCCATGATCGTTGTCCGATATCTTAAGCTTGCGAACGACTTCATGCATGTGTACCTCCTGATGCATATGATTCATCTTCTGATGCACCTCCACGCCGTGATACTCAATTGATGTCCCTCCCTGCAGACCAAAAAAGAAGAGGAAAATCAGCAGCACGAATGCAGGCTTGGATGGACTGAGGCAAAATGTACAACATCTGTCTGTAGCATGAGGGTTTGCAATTTCGTAAAAACCAAAATTCCAGGAACTTCGTTGTTTTTCTGCAATAAATTATTTGGAATTTTACCAAATTTTGATTGCTTTTGAAAGAAATTAAATGAAAATTTCGGATGAGACATTTGCTTGCCCGGGGGGAGATGGGGGGATATTCCGAAATTTCTGTACCCTGCAGTATAGCATCATAGCATGGATTTAGCTTAATACCTTGTGCTTTTGCTCGAGATCCTTAATTTTTCGCTGCAATTTCTTGTTCTCCTCCTCGAGACGCCTGTTCTCTTTCCTCTTTGTGTCTACCTTTAAATTGAGATTTTCTTTGTCTCTCTTCAATCTTTTCTGCTCTTCCTCGGCAGCTGTTTTGTCGGCCTGGAGAACCTTTTTTTCTTCCCTTTTTTCCCTTAGTTTTATGTCTAGATCTTCCTTCTGTCTCTTCATTCTTTCAAGGTCTTTCTTGTATCTCTCTATTTCTTCCTTTACATCATCCTGGATGCATGAAAGATTCAAACAATAACCCAAAAGATATATTAACGAATTGATGTACCCGTCAATCTTGCACAAGATCAATTAAGATGCAAATAGTACATGCATACCGGAATAACCGATTCAATCTTGACACTGGATGCCATCTTCTTGAGGCGTTCGTACAGCTTCCCCACATCCACAGTCCCTCGCACCTCCACCTTCAAACTGCTGCTCTCTGGATTTTTGCTGTAGTTTCTATACTCGATAGATTCTAAAAAACATAGAAAGAAGGATGAACAACACAGGTATTAGTAAAGGAAATTCCTTGTATGTCACTGAAATTTTAGCTGATCCTCTCTACACCTCTGAGTTTTGCTCGTTCCTTTTCGACAACAGAAAATACAAGATGGTAATTAAACCTTTGAATTCTTGACGAAGTACATTCTTGACCTCAGTCTCGCTTGCACCCCGAACCTTTAGCTTCACTTGTTTCTTGTCACCCTACCAAGTATATATACATCACCAAAAAAAATGTTGATTTGAACCAGAAAGACAACCGAGTGCAGCAACAAATATTCAAGAACAACACATACCATTTTGCTTCAGCTATGGAATGAAACAAAAACGAGAAGGAAGTCGGAGACAAGTGCAAGATCGAGCTAGCTAGTTCTGCTTCAAGCACAACATCGCCATGTGTTCTGAACTTAAATACGGAGATTCCTGAAGAACAGATTCTGGAAGACGCGTGCATTCCATCTGAATACGCGGTTTGCTGACGTCGGCTCGGTGACAACACATGAGTCAGAAGCAAATCAGGATTCGATAACGTTCATGCTTTACTTGACTTGACCTGTAAAGTAACGTCCTTATTACTCCCGTCAATGAATATGTATATCGTCGTATTAAGAAGATAATGCGCTGCATCATGCACCTAACCGGCCTGATGTTCTTTTTCAATACGGGTGAATCCGAAGAGAATGATGACTCTCTAAATAGTGGATGAATTATTAGATCGGAGGGATTGTGGTTAGAGAATCTATAAATTGCACCCACGGTACAACAACTCGGTATGTGGGTGCGATATAGTGAAAGAACTTGAGAATTAAACGTCTGACTGCAACAACTTGACAAGTGGGTGCGTTCTAGTACAAGTACTTGACAATTTAGTATTTTGGTGAATCAATTTGGCTAAACATATGCTAGGTGAGGTTTTTCACGATGTCAATATGCCAATACATAGTAATCCTACGGATGTTACCTTATAATATTGAATTTAATCTTTAAGAATTATATTGCACATACAATTTACATTCAGTTACCTTTAAGAATTTTTTGTTTCTTTACCTTCTCAAATATCAACCGAAATATAATAATTTCTACATCCAATTTAATTGACTTTTAGTTATTAGTTATTAGAGTTATTAGTTATTAGGATAAAAATATAAATATGCTTATACAAATCCACGCTAGTATATTGTCAAAATAAGTACTTAAAAATTTGAATTTATATAAAAAATACTCCAAATAATTAAGTTGTCACACTTCTTAATTTATTTTATTGTATCAAAATCGTACCTACCTTGCAAGTTGTTGTATTTATACGATCACTTATAAATTCCTATACTAAATTACACCTTCTTACTAAGTTGTTGCACTAGAATCCTCATTTTTCAAGTTATTATATCAAATTGCACCCACCTGCCAAGTTGTTGAACCGTGGGTGCAATTTACTCCTTTTAAAACATAGACACTATTTTGCAGGATTTTTATAGAAATTACGAAGCAAGCACTACTTAAAAAGGCATTTTTGCCGACGTTGGGTCTCTTTTTCCGCAGGCGGGTATGACCCTTGGAGCCAAATATCTGTTGGAAATTTGATCATAATTCGGCATATTTTACTCCAAAATAACAAGATAATAAACATGTTATTTACAATGGGATTTGATCCAGTGATAGTAGCATGTAATCAACATGAGCATGCTTAATGTAGAATAAGCATCAACAATCACATAATAACGCAATGTTTACATTGCGATGAATATTAACCGTAAAACTTCTAATTGAAATAATGTAAGAAGGTTATACCCCAAGAATGGTTCTCCGCTGGAGTTTGAGATAGTATTGTCACCGTTGGTGTTGACAGAAGCCTCCTTCTCCTTGTCTCTAGTGTTGCCGTTGTCTCCAGTGTTCGACATGTTGGTGAAGACGAAGTAGACGTTGACGAACAGTGAGTAGTTGCGCCTTGTGCTCCCCGAAAACCTAATCGCCCACCCGTCCATGCAAACGTCGTAGCAGTGCATGGTTTCGAAGGCCTATTCTCCCAAAGCATGTGCACACACTCGTCGGGATGGGATTACCGTAGCAGCAATAGCCTTGGAAATGGATGAAAGTGTGTCTCACTTCTCCTTAGAGAGATCAAATCCGTTCTCATTTTATAGGAGGAATGGAAGATGAAGAGTAAGAGTTATGGAATAGGAAGAGGAATAGAGTAACTAATTCTCATCAATTACCCATCAACCATCCTCCACTACACAATCATCAACCAACCATCAATTATGAGTAATTGATGTAGGTTACCAACGGAATAGGAAGAGGAATAGAGCAGCTAATTGTCATCAACTAGCAACTAGCCATGAACCATCCTTCACCACACAACCATCAACCATTCATCAATTAGGAGTGATTGATATAAGTTACCAATTCACTGATTAAATGGATTAATTTTCAAAACTCTTCATCCCATTGATATCCCATAAGAGAATGAATACATATAAATTCCTAGCTTAATGAGCCTTGGAATTTATTTGATTTAATTGATTTAAATGGATCAATTACCCAATTAAATCTAACAATATCCGCTTATGAAAATGTAAACCAAGGTGGATTTTCATCATCCTCCTACGAAAATCAATTTTTCTAGGCGGACCACTTAAGAGATCTGCCTGTGAAAATACCGTTATTTCGCAGGCGGATCTCTTAAGTGGTCCGCCTAAAAAAAATATGATTTTTGCAGGCGGAACCTTATGTGGTCCGCATACAAAAAATCATGCCTACATAAAAAAAACTAATTCCTATCTTATCTTCTCCTCTTCCATCTTATCCTCTCCCCACCACTCATTCCCTCAACTCTGTCTCTCGTGTTTCCCTCTGGCTCCCTCCCCTCCGCTTCCTTCCTTCCTTCCTTCCGGCGGAGGGTGTCGACGGCGGCGCGGGTAGAGGGCGTCGGCGGAGGCACGCGCGGAGGGCGTCGCCGGACCCACCGCCCCCATGCCTCCCCATCGCCGCCGACGCCAGCCTCCCCTCTGGCCACACCACTGTCGATGCCCATCCCCTCCATCGGATCTAGGAGGGAAGCAAGAGGAAAGGGAGGGGAGAGGTCGTGCCGCCTCATCCGCGCTCTGCCGGCGCTCCCCCTCCGACCACGCAGGGAGGGAAGGAAGGGGAGGGGAGGGGAGATAGATGGAGAGGGAGGGGAGTGGCCACGCACACTACCGTCGAGGGTGAGGCCGTGGGGGGAAGCAGCCGGCCGCCGGATCCGTGCGGCGACGGCCGCCGCCCGCCGGATCCCGCGCCTCCACCGCTGGAGGGGCTCGCCATGCACGGGAGAGCATGCAGTAGGCCGGCGCTAGGCGTCGCCCACCCCTTCCGTCACCGCTGCCTACGCCAACCGCCGCCGCCGTTGTCGCCGCCAAGTGGGAGAAGAGGAGAGGAATGTGGCCGGGAGAGAGAGGAGAGGAGTGAAGCCAGGAGATGAAGTGTGAGGTGGGAGAGACAGAGATAGGGAGAGGGTAGAATAAAAAATGGGGTGGACGAATATTTTCGCGTGTGGGTGAGTTAAGAGACCCACTTGCGAAAATACCCTTATTTTTGCATGCGGATGTTTTAAGTGGGCCATTTGGAAACATTGATTTTTTTCGTGCGGGTCTATTATGGAGTCGTATTCGAAAATGAGGGCCGATTTTTGCATACGCGGACACTTATGGCCCATCTGCAACCTATTAGATTGCTTGCCTAGGAAAATCATTTTTGAACTAGTGGGGAAACATTGTTAGTACCGGGTTTGGTTCTGAAGATCCTGTCTAGATTCGTTATATTAGGATGTGTTACATACAGTACAAGGTTACTATATTTTGGGACGGAGAGTAAAGTCTATCGACCAAACAACAAGCTGCAAGCCATAAAAAGATAAAGAAATTGTTAAATATGTGATCCAAATTTTGGACCCATAATATATTCAGATTAATTTTCTAGTAGGACTCCATGTCTATCCTACGTTTGTAATCAACTCCTCTATAGTGATCATTGCCGGTCGGCGCCCGTGATTTTTTCCCGCAAGGGTTTTTCACGTAAAAATTCGTGTCTCCATTGTACATCTTTTTTCATAACAGAAATGACAAGTAAAAGTTTACCCGAACTAAAAGTACGGGTCTCCCATTCCCATGTGTCACATGGTTAGCGCCATGTGACCGTACTTTGCTTCCATTCTCCCCCAACCCATTACTGTATTGTTTACTCTATTTGAGACTAGTCCAATAGCTAATAATTATAGTTCGGAACCCTGTGCTTACTTGTCTATATATTGTATCGAAGACTGATCTGATCTTACCGTAACTAGAAGGGAACGCAGCGTGCATCCGCGCACACAGACATGACTATAAACATGACTTGAGCATAAATTTTATTAGTTAAATTCAGAGTAAGTATATTATTGGTTGAAAATTTCCTATAATTCCATTTAACATAAAATGGTGATTTTAGAACATTGTGTGATAATTGAAAGCATTCCACAAACTAATTCAAAAGATAAGAAAAATTAACTAATTGCCCATAGGGTGCCAATTTCCCTGCTGGGGCTAGGACCCCACCCTAATGGGGGCAGAGGCCAAGTCAGGTTTCACACCCATGGGTGAGCGGCGGTGGGGGAGGTTATATTCACCCTCGGGTAACCCAGCGGGGCCCTGGGCTATTAGCGCGTGATGCTGCAACCACCCTCCGTCTCTCCTTCTCCTTCGAGTCGTCGGCTTGCCCTGCCTATCAAAGCGTGACGCCGCAACCACCCTTCGTCCCTTCCCCTCATCGGAGCTGCGGGGCCCACTCAACTGTCGGGTCCTCTACAGGATCGGGGGTGGCTCAGGTTATTCACCCGGTGGCCAATGTGAGGCCGGGAGCGGGGGGGGGGGGGGAATGTGGGGGCGTTCCTGCCCAACCTGGCCCCGCCCCACCCCGCTGCCACTCCTAATTGCCATTGGAATATTGTACTCCATGTTTATACCATTACTTGCCTGGTATCGCACATGTACATTAATTAAAATATAACCATCAGGTTTATACCATGGTCGCTAACGGTATGTAAATAGGTTCACCTAATTTGTCATTGTTTATAGAATCAACTGATTAAAAAGATAGATCAGGTTAGCTTCGAACGTGGGCTATAAGCCTGTTGGGCTAATGAAATGTAAAGCACATGCATAGACGCGAATTGAATGTAAAGCACATGCATAAACTACACTACCACTAAGTTCAGATCTTGTCCCGTGTTGTTCTTTCAGTTGTAGCTTCCAAGCTGTGCATATCTCAGGCTTAGTGTCCGTCAGTGATCAACTGCAAGGCGCTGCATACTAGCCAGCAGATTCCAAGAGCGTTCGGTACGCCCTGTCTATTTCACGTACTATCTGGTTTTGTGTAGTTTTTTTCATTGATATTAATTCTTGCTCAACTAACACACATGTGTTAGCATCAGACGATGCCTGGATGGATGGTTCGCACGGTGTTCTTGCTCAATTCGTGGGTAATCCGGGCGTTGGTAGTATTCAGCTTCGCAGCGCATGTCACCATCATCTTCTTGGCCGGAGTCCGCCGTCGTAGGGCTATCGGCTTGCCGATAACCATCCTGTGGGCGGCGAACCAGCTGGGCCGGTGGGCCGCGACGTACGCGCTCAGCAAGCTCGCCCTCGGCAGCACGACGCAGGAGCTGGAGCTGGAGCTGGTGACGCTCTGGGGGGCGTTCCTGCTGCTCCATGCCGCTGGTCCGGACAACATCACCGCCTACTCCTTGGAGGACAATGTTCTGTCGACGCGCCAGAACGTAGAAATGATCTTGCAGGTATCAGGAGCAGTATTTGCCATGTACAAGAATATAGTCCTCAGAAGTGGGTTAGGTACGATGATCTGGGTCTCCTCTTTCATGTTCATCATGGGCATTTTTAAGTATTGGGAGAGGGCGAAGGCTATGCTGCTCGCCAACCTAGAGAACTTGCGAAGCTCAATCAAGAAGAAGGAGGAGGAGGAGACAAGGAGACGACGAAGCTTGAGAAATATTTGGCGTCCAAGCAGTTCGAAGCATGATAATGACGAGGAGGCACTGCTGGTTGCTCATGGCCTGCTCGACATCACCAAAGGCGCCTTCGTCGTTTCTTCAGTCGACGAGCATCAAATCCCTGTCTATGCTGCCAGGAGACGAGAGATATTTCCTAAGAGTGGCTGGGGGATGATGTACAAGGTGGTCGACATGGAGCTCTCCCTCATGTATGACATCCTCTACACCAAGGCGGCCATGGTGCACACATGGCATGGCTACGCTATGCGTGCCGCCTCTCCGTTCGCCACTTCCGTGGCCTTCATGCTGTTTTGGTTTGACAGCAAGCAAGGTCAGCGGATGACCGATGTTTTGATCACCTATTTCTTGCTGGGAGGTACGGTCCTCCTAGACATCATATGGCTTCTCAGAGCAGTGGCATCAACAAGGACCTATTCGTTCCTCAATGATAGGCCACACTTGTGGGTTCATCACGCATTTTTGTGCTCTGGGAAGTGGCGCCTGCTCCGTCGTCTCATTGTCTCCCTGGATCCGTCGTTGATCCTCGCCAAGGAACCAAGTAGCTACAGGAAGTGGTCTGGAAAAATTGGACAGTATAACTTGTTACACAAGTACACTCATGACAAGGACGAAAGGACCAGAGATTACTTGAGCTATGTGGTAGAGAAAGTAGCATCGGAAGACATCTCGATGGAGTACGAATACCACAACTTGAGGGGTATTCATATTTCTGTGGATTTCAAGAAGAACTTGTTGGATTGTATTTGGGACTATATGTATTTAGCATACCCAGTTGAAGACGTGGAGGAGAAGAAGAAGGAGAAGGAGGAGAAGAAGAAGAAGAAGAAGAAGGGAACGGCGGAGAAGAAGCCAGATCCGCCGATGAAGCCGGCTGAGCACCACAATATTGAGAACATTCGGAAATTGGAAGAAGCTCTGGATTTTCTTCCTGAATTTCAGGAGTCCATTCTTATCATGCACATCACTACGAATGTCGTCTTCATGTACACTGAATCTGAACAAAATGCAGAATCGTCCAAGTCCAAAGACAATGTGGAGGTGAATCAAGGCATTGTCGGATTACATGATATTCCTTATCGCGGTGCGACCCACCATACTACCTGGTCTCAAGCTGCGCAGCCTGTATGAAGCTACCGAGGATGCTCTTGCCAAAATATGGTCTAAGAAAGAATCTTCCCGCTGCAGCTCCAGATCAAGACAAAAGTGTCTTGCTGACATCCTGCGATGCATGGAGAACAAAAGGAGAGAGAAAAGGCCGGATAAATCCGACAACTGGAGGCTAGGCTACAGGACCCGGAACTGGCAACCAGACTATACAACCGACCTTTACAGCATTAGTATTGTTCTGTCCGATGGGATTAAACTAGCTGATCATTTGCTGCAATGGCTGCATCGTAATTACTGGGTTAAATTTCCCAAATCTGAATACTCGTACGAGGCAAAATTTGCACAGATGTTTCCGAAATTGAGAAAAATCCTGAACGGGCGCTCGATGTACGACTACCCCGATAAATGGTCGCGACTGCTGGAACACATCTTCTTAGAGTGGGTGCGTCTGCTGATTAACGCGTCCGTCAAGTGTACAAGAGATTCTCACGCCAAGCAGCTGAGCCGTGGTGGTGAGCTCACGACCGTCGTTTGGATCCTAGTTGAACACGCGGGCGTATTTCGCGTCGACCGTCAAAAGAGATGAAACTGTTTGATGCTACAATTCCTACTGAATCGAGGGGTTCATATATAAGTTGAGATGTCTGTCTTCTCTTGTCCTCTGTACCTGTAAAACTCAAAACTCAATTTGTAGATCACAGGGTTCTCAATTATATATTACCTGTACAATCTTTTTCTCATCGATATGATAAATCTACCATGGGTCCAAAATATTCAAAAATATAGCCTTTACTTGTTTCTGATTTAAAAAATCCCAAAATTCAAACGGAAGGCTATAAGTTTACCAACAAAGATGTCAGGAAAATTTTAAACACAAACTATAATTGTACACTAGAAGCTTCAGCAATTTATGCAGACACTACTAAAAAAACGTGTTTGGGTGCCGGTTGGCAACCAGCCATATGTGCTGGATTTCCCAACCAGCACCCAACAAACGGCACCTTCGAGTCTCCTCAAAGGTGATGGTTTAGAAACCAACACATTTAAGGTTCCCGGAATGAAAAAATAAACGGCTCAATGCACTGGCTCAAATCGAGCCGATGCACCAAGTGCATCCACCCTGCTTCGCCCCCAAAATCGCACCCCCCCCAAAAAAAATAAAAAATAAAAAATCAATCATCAACAACACAACACACAACATCATCTAAAAACGAAGACACAACAACATCATCTAAAAAGCAAAGCCCCTGCCGCTGCCTCGGCTGGATCTGTTCGCGGGAGCCACCGCCAGATCCGCCGCGGGAGAAGCTTGGGACGGAGGGGGAGGAGAGGGGGTAGAGGATCACTGGATCTGCCCAGCGGAAACGCCACTGCCTTCACCTCCGCCGGATCCGGCCACGGGAGCACCGATGCCGCCGCCGCTGTCGCTGGATAAGCTTGGTGGCAAAGGGATGGGAGAGGGAGTAGAGGACCGCCGGATCCACCCGTCGAAAATGCCATTGTTGCGTCCTCCACCGGATCCGCCCATGTGAGCCGCCGACGCCACCGCCACCACCGGATCGGCTGCGGGAGGAGCTTGGGGGCGGAGGGGGACTGGGAGGGGGTAGAGGACAGCCAGATCCGGACAGTGGGAGCCGTCGACGCCATCGCTTCCATCAGATGTACCGCCGGTGAGGGATGTGAGAGGGAAAGGAGGCGGGGACCAGAGAGAGAGAGGAGGGGATGGCGGGTGGGGGACAGTGACAGAGATAAAAAGAGGCGCGGGTATATGGGTGGATATAAGGATAAGGACTGGGACCGATTGGCTCGTCTCGGATTTTTGGTGTTGGATTATTAAAATCCAGTATAATATATTATAGGTGTCGGTTGTTTTAAAAAAAATGGCACTATAGTATTTATGTCGGTCCTTTTTTTTTCACCCTGCAGGAATAGAAAAAGTCTATAGGTGCCAGTTTTAGATATTCCGGTATTTATAGTGATGTATATACTTTATGTGTTTATGTAGTAGTGAGACTTAGGGGTCAAAATTTACCAACCGGGACTAAAGATGGATCTCAACCGGGACTAAAGATGGGCATCTTTAGTCCCGGATTGCTACTCCCGGTTGGAAACCCGGGACTAAAGGGGGTTCCCAACCGGGAGTAAAAAAGGTTTCTCCACCAGTGGTAGTGTGAAACTGGAATACTGAAACAATTGAAACTTCAGGATATAACTGCGGTTTCGTACTATAGTCTATATATGATTAAGAATCAATCCATATGTTAGGATACACGTGTGTGTATATATATATATATATATATACATATATATATATATATACATATATATATACATATATATATACATATATATACATATATATACATATATATATATATATATACATATATATATAAAATATTTGAAATTGCAAAAATATGGAATAACTTATGATAATTTCTGTGAAAAATGCTACCGCATGGACCACTTGTTACCAATTGACATGTTGGCTGTCACTTGTCATGAAAAAATATAGTCTGACTACCAAAGAAACATGGTGGACTTGGTAACAATGTTATGAGAACCACTTTATCTATTTATATGTCAAGTGTGTTTTTATGGATGTGATAGCAATGTTGAGGATATGTGTGCTAGCCACTGATCATGGGCCTGTACGTACAGTGTACACTCCACGTATTTGGCAATTCTATCCCGGGTGCCGAAAAAATTAGTACTTTGATAAATGTAAGAATCATAATTATTTATGTATTATGTTTACATTATTGTTCCTAATTCTTAAAATCACAACCCACGATGAATTCGGCTAGCTGGGTTCGTGATTCTCAGTCCAAATCATCGACCCAGGGTCATCGACCTGCATGACATGGAGTCATGTCCCTCGACCGATACTTTCGAACTGGGATCATCGTCCCAGCTTTATCAGGATCGTGGTCCATAACGGTCGATTGGCGTCCCGAGGAGGTATACTCCCGTCGTACCACACTTTTCCAAGTGTCGCTCCTCGTCCGTCGACCCTGTTCCTCGACCCAGTCGACCCATATTTTTGGTGACTATGCCTTGACCACAGTTGTCGTGGTCGCGTGCGGTCGAGGTCTCACGTGGACTGCCACGCTTCGTCTGGATCTGTGCCGCCGTCGCCTTGATCCGGTGTCAGAACGAGCCCCCACCATCGCCTTCCAGCTCGTCGTCATCGCTGAGCCTTGCCGAGCCCTGCCTTGCCTCACCTCGATCTACCCATGTGTCACCGCCTGGATTCGCCGCTAAGCCCCACCGAGCCTTGCCTAGATCTGCCGTCGAGCCCTGCCTCAGACCCACGCCGCCAAGCCCGTGTGCTGCCGAGCCTCACACCTCAGATCCGCACGCCCGAGCGCCGCCCCTGGGTGTGTCGTCGCCCCAAGCTTGAGAGCGACAGAGATCGAGAGGGTGTGAGGGAGAAGAGGAGGGAGGAGAGATCTAGAGAGAAAGGAAATGTAGCTAAGGGAGAGGTAGGTGGCTGTTTTTTTATAGGGCCTTTAGTTTATTTTTTATGGCGGCCAGTTAAGAGAACCGCTTGGAAAAATCTATTTTTATAATTATAAAAATAAAAATTGGCTTATAAGCTTATAAGCGGTGCTCTTATCTGGCCACAGGAAAAAAAGTTATTTTTACAAGCGGTCGTCTTAAAAAAACCATTCGTAAAAATATAGTTTTGCAAGCGGTTATTACCTAGGGACCTCCAATTGCATCTTCACAAACTTTCTTATTTTCTTAGGCGAAATAAAAATGGTGACTCCATGAAAATATTTTTTTAAGTAATGTAACTTCTCAACGATCCAAAAATTAATCTCTACTTATACTTTTTTTTTCATTTCGATATAGAATGATGCCTATATTGGCTGACAAATTTCTTCCAAAATTACACATTCTACATAAGCCAAGTCTTTGGCGGCTGTCAGAAATACTATACCTACCTTGCAACCTACTCCATGCGTCTGCTTGTGATCCCCAAGATCTAGACTGCTCACAGTGCACAGATGCCTGTCAACTTTACAAAGATTCCGACATCCCACAAATCTGTCCAATGAGCTGACTCCTTTAACGATGACAAATTAAGGATAATGATGATTTGGCAACAAGTGTGCCACAGATATGCTAATGATATCCACACATTGTCCCTGTTGCGTTTCTTTAGAGTCGAACTAATTAAACGCCGAAAGTTATTCCATATTTTTTTCAATGAAAAATGTATTATATAATTTGTCCTAACATAAAGATTATTTAATTAGCCTAAGGATTGCCAACTAGAAGGCCTAGAAACTCAGTTATTTTAGTCCCCATGTTTCATACTACTAAATAAAGAAAATTGACCTTGGTTTTTCTTTAGTGTCGTGGTGTGTTTGTGCTTATGTTGACTAAGGATCATGCTAAGAAAAGAGTCAAACACATGGCAAATGGGCACTGATATGATATTTTCATAAGTTGATATGTATTAGTACCGAAATGACAAGAAAATATTTAAAAAGTGGATATAGAAAAGGAGAAGAAAATCCATTCTTCAGTTCACAAGAAGATTTGTAATCCTCATTCTACTGTTCATGTCGAACTATCCATCGCATCACGCATGCGACTGATGATACAAGCAGCTGGGTCAGCTTATCCGCTCCAGGTGGGGAATTGCCGGCTAGCCAAGTGAGACCGTGGGGGCAATGGGCCGAAGGCCCATCTAGACCAGCAAGGCAGGGAGGGCTCCGAGGTTCTCTCGTGCAGTGCGTGTCTGCCCCAGCGAGTATGTAGAATATACGAAACCGATACGATGACGGTGTTGTACAAAAATTTGAGATAAAAACACCTAAAACTTTTATAATAGTGGAGATAAAGGAATAGGTTAAATTGCCGGTCCACACGTAAACTGAGTGTAGAGAATAATTGAGAACCCTGCAAATTAGTTAATTACTCCCTCCGTTTTCATATTATAAGATATTTTGACTTTGGTTAAAATCGAACTACTTCAAATTTAACTAAGGTTATAGACAAATATAGTAATATTTATATAACCAAATTAGTTTTATTAAATTAATAACTAAATATATTTTTATAATAAATTTATCTTGGTTTAAAAATATTACTATTTTTTCTATGAACTTGGTAAAATTTGAAGCAATTTGACTTTAACTAAAGTTAAAACATCATATAACCTGAAACGAAGGGAGTAGTAGCTACAAGTCGATCGAGTTACACAAGTACACACAGGAGAAATGAAAAAAAAAAGTTCTAACTAAAGGAGATCAAATGAACACATCAATCAGAGACGCTATGGATATCTGTCAGTAGCGAGACACATGAATGCCTAGTCTATCGTAGCTATCTGCTGGTTTCCTCTTCGTCGTCTTTTTCACACGAAGAATGCGAGCGTGTTCAGCGAGGATCCACACAACGGTAGTGAGCTCACCACCACGAGCAAGCTGCTTGGCATGGGAATTCCTCGTACATCTGATGGACACGTTAATCAAGAGACGCACCCACTCTCTGAAGATGATGTCCCTCACTTCCTTGGGCATTTGATACTCTAATTCAGTCTCAGTCGCCTCACCGGATTTCATCAAATCCGGAAACTGCCGCTTAAGTTTGTCTTCGAGTACTTTGTTGTCTCCAATTTCGATCTTAGAACCAGGTTTCCAATTTAGCAGAAGATTGGCTAGTCTAGCTCCGTCAGATAGAATATAACTCGAGTCGTAAAGAACACTTAGATAGGCACCTGGTGACAGTATCTCAGTTTTGTTCCCTTGATGCCACTTGAATGTTCTCATGGGTGTCTTTCCATTCTTCTTCATCTCCTTATCAAGCAGACTTTTGGCAAGACACTTCTCTCTCGCCATGGAGTTGTTGAAGGAGGAAGAATTTTTTATCTCCTTCCATTGTTCACCCAAAGCATCAAGGAGAGCATCGTACCGGCTACTGAGTGCGAGGCCCGGGAGCATGGTCGGTCGCACCGCGACGAGGAACATCATGTAATCCGACAACGCCTTGATCGCCTTCCCCCACTCCGATTGATCTTGATTTTGACCGGATTCCGTGTGAAAGAGGAAGATGTCCGTGGCGACGTGCAGGACAAGAATGGTCTCTTGTAAATCAGGAGTGAAATCCAGGGCATCGTTTAGTTCCTGATCAATACCAATAGTAGCTTTCGCAGCAGCCTCCGCAGCAACCGTCGCAGAAGGAAACGGATCCTCCACATGTATCCATTTTGGATCCGATAACTGCACAGGCGGTATCCGTTCAGGAAACGCTAACTCCATGTTTTTCCAAACACGGTCAAACAGCTTGTTCCTGAAATCTCTTGAAATATGAATGCCTCTCGAGTTGTGGTATTCGTACTCCATCCATGCTTCTTCCGGTGCATTCTTCTTCCACCAAGAGCTCCAGAAGTTGCTGGTCTTCTCGTCCTCCTCCCGAGTGCACTCCCTCAACAAGTTATACTGCCCAATGGTTCCTAACCACATCCTGTACCTAGTTGGTTTCTTATTATTGGCAAGGAACCGAAATAGATTCAAAGAGAGGATGAATCGACGGAGCATGCGCCATTTCCCTGAGCACAGAAGTGCATGATGAAGCCACGATCGTGGCCTATCATTCAGGTAAGAATAGGTCCATGTGGACACCACTGCTCGGAGGAGCCATTTGATATCCAAGATGACGGCGCCACCTAGCAAGACGTAGGTGATTACAACGTCTGCCGTCGCCTGGCCTTGCTTGCTGTGGAACCAAAACAGCAGGAATGCAGTTGCTCCGAGGAATGGAGAGGCGAAACGGATGGCGTAGCCACCCCAAGTTTGTACCATGACTTTCTTGGTGTAGAGGATGTCGTACATGAGGGAGAGCTCCATGCTGACAACCTTGTACAGTGTCTCATCCCAGGTACCAGAGAGTGCCTCTTGCTCGTCATCACTCCTTTTGTCCAAAAAATCCATGAAGGCATTCTTGGTAATATATAGCATATCATGAGCAATGAGCAGGATCTGCTCATCATCCGGCTTCCTGCCTCCCCGGCTAGTATTTTGGAGGCTGCTGCTGCTGCTTCGTCTTCTCATGTTCTCCTTCTTCTTCTCCTCCTCCTTTCTTGAGCTTCTCATGTTCTCCAGGTTTCCGCGCTGCAGCGCGTAGTATGCCCCCTCGAAATACTTGGCGATAGCCATGAGGCAGACAAAGGAGGAAATCCAGAGCATGGAGTCGCCAGGCATGGCGAACATATTCAGGTACAGGATATAGGCAGGCGACACGGGTCCAAACTGTTATGAACGACGTATAGAAATATGAAGTAAACGAAAAACAATCACAGCGGAGACACACGATTTAACGTGGAAAACCCCTTTAATGCGAAAGGGGAAAAAACCACGAGCACCAGCCAGCAACAATCTCACTATCTCAAGAGTTTTGGGTTACACGCCTATGGCGGCTTACAAGAGAATCAAGTCTCCACGAAACCCTAGCTCCGGCCCAAGCCTCCGGCTTAGGCCTCCGCTCCGCTTCGTCAGAAGCCCGGCCAATATCTTGAAGTGAATTTAGAACAACTCCAACACAAACACCTGAGCAATCACATCTACCTTCTGTCGCAGCGAGAGGACGCTGTCTTCCAAGGCGTAGGCGGCGATGTTGTCCGGCCTGGCAGCATGCAGCAGCATGAACGCCGCCCAGAGCGTCGCCTGCTGTCTCTCCTGGACCGTGCTGCCGATGGTTATTATGCCCAGCGCGGCGGTCGGGGCCCAACGGGCACCCTCGTTTGCCACCCACAGGAGGAATGTCGCCCCACCGGTCGCTTGGCGGCGGCGAACTCCGGCGAACAAGACGAGGACGACATGAGCAATGAAGCTGAGGGCTACCACTCCCCGGATCGAAAAAAGAAAGTCTCTGATGAACATCATGGTACCCATCCATCCAGGCATCGCCCCTGCTAATGCATGTGGTTAGGACGTAATTTATAAACAAACTAGACGTACGTCAAACAATCAACCAAGAGACGTACGTACCGGCCATGCGCTCGTTGAATCTGATGGCGTTACAGTTAATTTGCCACTGATGGACTACGCCTGACTGGATAGTATATATCACTATATATCAAGCTGGTTCGAATCTACAAGGGCTAGAACAACAGCAAACAAGATGTGCACTGGTGCCTTGGGTGTACGTGTTTAACAATGCTTGTAGCAATCCAGGTATACTTATAGGGATCTGGGCATTTCATTAGTATCTCGATCTGTTATTGCACGCTTACATTTCATTAGCCAAAAGTGCTACTTAATATGCTACAGTGCATGCTAGCATTATGATCAAACCATTTTTCATACATCTGCGCTATTCTAAGCAAGGGTGTACTAGCGCCCGGTTTAGTTCCCAAAAATTTTTGTTTTGGGTGTCACATCGGATATACGGACACACATTTAAAGTATTAAACGTTGTCTAGTAACATGAGCATCACCACCATATTAGAGAATATATGGGATCCCAGTTGCTTCTGCCACATTTGTATTAATTTGCTAAAACTCCTCTTTTCCACAACCTCCAAGTGAATATAGTTAGTAGTTAACTACTCTCTCCATCCCATATATAATCACTTTTGGATTTTGACACGGTTTTCGAGATACTACTTTGACTTAAAAGTAATATGTTTTAAATAGAAAGAACTGCATATTAATTATGATAGTTTGTTTAATGATAAATCCAGTAACATCAATTTTACTTAATTGATCTTTTTTTATATTTTTGTTATTAATAGTCAAAGTTACAAATATTTGATTGGGCACTATGCTAAAAATGATTATATTTTAGGACAGAGGGAATAATTTCCTGGAATGATGTTCTCTTCTCAGAATCATAGAGAAGGAATGTTTGTTCTTCATTTCATTTTATCAAACAACATTTCAAATTACAGCATCTTAATTTACACCGGGTTTTAATATTACTGCAGAAATTAAAAACATTTTCTGCGTGCATAATGCCATAATGACGGAAATAGAACTACTTAAGTTTCGGACATACTCCCTCCGATCCATCCAAAAAAACTCAACTTCTAAAGTTTAAATTTTATTTTAAAAAACCAAATTCTAACATCCTACCTACCCTCAGCATATAAAACGAGAAGTTTTATCTCTTAAATTCCCTTTACCTACCTATTACCATTGCTACTTTTTTCAATAATAAGAGATATTTTGCTTATTTTTACTCTTCACTATTTTCTCCTTGGGATGTGCTAGGAATAGACTTTTTTTTGGACGGCGAGAGTATTCTAAGAACATAAACATTTTTTTCTGAACTGAAAAAAAAATTGCTGCAAAAAATATATTCTGCCAGGTGGGCCGACAGATAACTAATATTTCAATCCAGCATTTAAAATCTGATCGACGTCCTAACGAACTAATTTTAGGCTGTTCTTCCCCTCTTTTTCTAACTCATCTGCCTCGTTTTTCGCGCGCACGCTTTTGAAACTTCTAAATGATGAGTTTTTTTTTAAAAGTTTATATACGAAACTTACTTTAAAAAAATCATATTGATCCAGTTTTGAAAAAAAAAGCTAATACTTAACTAATCACACGCTAATAAACTACTTTATTTTCCGTGTTAAGAATATGGGTTGCCAATCCAGGCTGCCGAACACATATTGCCTGTTGATAAATAATTGGTGTTCATCTAATTCGGTAAAGCATCGACCTCCTTAATTAATTATCAACAGCTTCGACTCCACATATTGCAAGAGTGGCGAGGTAGTTAATAATACACCTGCCGGTAGGGATGAAACGGTCGGAAATTGTCAGAAACGGTATATTATTTTATTATTTTTTTGAAAACAAACGAAAACGGTCAGAAAATTTTGATATTTATGAATTTATCTATTTAATGTCAACTTCAATGTCACACTGACATAAATTAAAAAAAATAAATTTTAAAAACGGTAACCATCGGTAAAAATATTATTATTATACTAGTTCTGTGGAAATCATACCGTTTTCACCTCTAAGTGCCGGTATGCCCCGCACACGTTAACTGCCTCGCCGGCTTATACATCCTCGGGTGTGAGTGATTTCCCTGTCTCCACGTTAATAATACAAGGCTCAATTCTCCACGGATGCATGCATCTAGTATGGTTCTACACAGGCCGGTAGACCATAGTAGTTGACTATATATATAGTAGTAGCTGCTAGCTTATGTTGTTTGTTTTTATATCCAGCTCCCGATCTAATTTTTTTCTCCTTTTCTTATTCATTTGATTTCTTGCATATGTGCCATCACATATATTTGAGTGTCAGCTACATGACTCACTCTTAGCTCCTAAGAGCAATGTCAATAGTGTCACCCGCTAATGGCTGTAAAAATGACTACATCAGTCTCTTATAGATATTACTAAAAGCTAATATATATAATAAGTAGATTTACATTGACTATTATTTATTTTTTTAATCTTTAGCTAGCTTCCCCATCTAATTTTTTAATTTTATTGCCGTTGTTTCGTCCAACCATTACTGAATCGTGTCAGCTCGCGTGGACCCACAATCGCATGTCCCAATCAAAGCTAGCCTGGTGTTGCTACACTTGCGTTGGGACGTGTGAGTAGCCGGTGATAATTTAGTCGCAGACTCACGCTCTCTCTCCTGTCTAGCTCATTGACAAATCCGATGTGGCAGTTTTATTGCTGGCTAAACAGGTTTATTATACTTTCTCTAATGCATATAATCGTAGGTTGCCCATGGTACATGTAGGTACTAGGTCTAATTAATATCTAACAACACAAATTCTAATTAATACCTAACAATACCGATACCGATGGATACTAGCATATCTATATGTACCAGGCGTGACACATATGGGTATATCCGATACTCAGCTACCAAGTCTGAAACTGATATATACTGTAATGGTACCTACGATACCAAACATAATTCATATGGGTATTATATTTGAAACACGTGGGTATCATGTTTGATACCTATATATACTATATATGATATCTATCAGTATCAGACATGGTATATATAGGTATCAAGTATAATACTTACCAACCTTGATACAATAATACTATAAGATAATAGGTCTGACTAAGTATCAAGTATGATACAAGATAATATTAGAGACGATAATATGGGTATCTGGTCCAATATCTTCGATGTTACATTATTATCATCTATGCACCGTATGGTCTCTGTGCTCTAGGAAGAGATTTTAAATTAATTAAACTAAAAATAGTAAATAGAACAAACAAGTGTTTCCCTTGTTTTGTGCACCCGACAGAATTTATTTGTAGCAATTGAGCTCATATATAGCTCACTAGCTCAATGGACACAAGCCAAAAGGCCCAGAGTTATAAAATCCATCTATTAATCTAATGAACTAACTAAAAAATTCACACTCACAGTCTAAAATTTTCTCAGATTAATCGAAGAAAGGAAAAAAAAAGGGTTTGAGTAGGTACACAATTCAAAGCATCTGAAATTCGGAGTAAAAAATAAAAACAAGAGTCAACCTGGAAATACACACTGCAGGAAAACCCTTCATTAGTCCCGGTTTGCAACCCCTTTCGTCCCGGGTTGCAATCCGGGACTAACGATGCTAGCGCCAATGTTTTTTTTCTTTTTTTATTGTTTATTTGCTGCTTGCATTTTGATTTTCCCAAATCGAGTTGCTCCCTACGTATCCCTAAATCAAAGTAACAACATCTCAAATCATATATTTACATCACAAATTCTCAAAAAAAAATCACGAATTCTAAAAGAAATACATTACAGATCCAATGAAAGACAAATTCTAAAAAAAAAAGAAAGAATAACATAAAAAAATCTAGCGCTACTGCCTCCCGCCACCCTCCGCCCACCTGCCACCTCCCTCCCATCCGCCCACCTGCCACCTCCCTTCGATCCGCCCGCCGCCACCCTCCCCTACACCAGCCCCTGCCCTCCCATCCGCCCGCCACAACCCTCCCCTCCGCCAGCCGCTGCCCTCCCCTCCCGCCGCTCATGGTGCGCCGCCGCGCACCACCGCTCGCCGCCGCAAACCACCACCTGCCGTCGCCCTCCGCACACCATGGAGAGGGCCAGGAAGGGAAGGAGGGGATCGAGGAGAGGGGAGGGCCGGGGAAGGTTGCCTCGGAGAGGGCCGGGAACGAGAAGAGGAGGAGTGGATCGAGGATAGTTGTGGATCGAGGGGACGAGGAGTGGAGGAGGAGGGGCATGAGTAGATAAGGATGGGATGTGTGCGAGGCATATGTCACTGCACCTTTTTTTTTTCAATTTTTGTCCCAGTTGGTATAAACAACTGGGACTAAAAGTGTGTGGGGCCGGGGGGGCTGACACGGCCTAACCACGTTTTGAACCGGGACTAAAAATAAACAAAAATCGGGACTAAAGATCATAAAGTGTTGTGCCGCTTTTGAATCGGGGCTAAAGATCTTGTTTAGTCCTGATTCTTATTTAAACAGGACTAATGTGATTTTTAGCCAACCCAGCAAAGATAGTTACAATTTAGAAAAATAAAATTGTATTGTGGCAAGAAATTTTTAAAAAATAATAATAAGATAATAAAATAATAAAATAGGTAGAAATTCTGTGGCTTGGATTATAGCTGTCACATGAATCCTTCGTACTTGGACAAAGTGGAATGCAACAACTGCCATCAAATGAGACATCATTCTCAACAGTGTCCTCAAGGACAAGGACACAAGGTAGTACCAGGATACAATCCAAGGTAGCAAGTACTAATGGAGCACCTACGTACCGTTGGACACAAGATCATGACTAATTAATAAACCGTACACTGGGTAGGTGTCACAAGTAATGGAGCACCTACCATTGAACACAAGAGCATGACTAATTAATAAAGGGACAATTTAAACCATGCCACACAAATTTTACAAAATTTGTGATATGCCACCCTGACCCACATGTCATTGACTCATGTGGGTCTTACATGTCATTGAGATACGGGTGGTATATCTCAAATTTTGTAAATATAGGGTGGCATGGTTCCAACAAACCCAATAATAAACCACACTGTACACTGTATAGGTGTCATAAGTAATGGAGCACCCACCGTTGGACACAAGCAGCGGATCGATCAGTGTCACAACCTACGCCAGCTTTCAGGAGATCCCGACTAATAAACCACGGGCCTGTTTGGCACAGCTCCAGCTCCAACTCCACCCCTCCTTGAGCTGGAGCTCAGACAAACAATTTCAGCTCCACCAAAACTAGGAGTGGAGTTGGGTGGAGCTCTCTCAAAAAATGTACTAGAGTTGTGGAGCTGGGTTTAGGCAGCTCCACAACTCCACTCCAGACTCAACTCCTGGAGTTATATTTAGGAGTTGGAGTTGTACCAAATAGGCCCGTGTCATTGGGACAGAAGAAATTCTGGAAGAACTACTCAATGAGGCATAATAACAAATAGGTAAAACTTGCTATAGAACATTCAAAAAACATGTAATTTGCTATGGAACACCGTAAGAACGTGTAGCTGTTGTAGGACATCGCAAAAACTGATAATTAGCTGCTGGACACCCGTGACATTATTTTATTATTTTTGAATGAATAGGAGAGAGAAACAATTATTAAGGACAAGTTCGCCCTTTGCTCAAATCAATCCACCATGGGCCCCACATGTAAGGCCCTCTTTCCAGATGGGACGGTGGGGCGGCGACGAGCGGAGTAGCACCGGATCAAGCAGGTATGGGACAGCGGGCGTAGCGGCGGACCAATAGCACGACGCCACGTCGTTAGCCGCACCGCGCGCGTTCCTCGCACGCACCTTGACAGCGAGCCAACCCACTGTTCCTGCGTGCGCATTTGAAACCGTGTGGGCCCCGCCTTCTCCTATGCGCGACACGTCGTTGCTCCTCGCCCGTGCCATTTCCCTCGCACCGAATGCGAGCATGCCACGCGTCCTAGCGTGGAGACCGCGTCCGCCCACGCCTGCCTATGGGTCCCGCGTGTCGTACGACTCCCGCGCTTGCCTCGTGAATCTGGGGTCGCCATGTCGCCGGCTCTGAAGAAGAGAAGAGAATAAAAGAGAGGAGAAAGAAAGGAGAAGCAAGAAGAAGAGTGTCATGGGCAATTCAGGACTCTCAACGCTCTTTCTCTCTCTATTTTCATCGGAAATAGTAAAATATGTCACGAGTGTACACCAGCTAATTACTATATTTCTACAGTACCCACAAGAAAATAAGCATTCTTTAGATATCTCATAGCTAATTACACATTTTTTGAGTGTCCTATAGCAAATTTTGCCGAAATAGTTGAGGACCAAGTTCCACTTGAGGAGCAGAACCTGCACCAAAGACATAGAAGTACCAAGATCGACGTACAAAGACCTAAAAAATAAAGTCAGTGGTACAAAGCTACTACGTAGCTTTCAAGGATCGACACCACCCCTAGTTCTTAGCTAGGTTGCCCGCCGTAGTTCTCCCATAGCTTCCCTTATTTTGAATCTTCGATCGGGTCAAGATTTCTTTTGAGTGGGTAGGTTTATAACACCCCATTTTTCTCATGCTATTAAAAACTATTTAAATAAAACCTTATTGTGAAAGTTTGGATCTTTGTGTCTGATCAAGGATCTAAGTGCCAAAGATCTCAAAATCTCTCTTTGAGACCCAAAATTTCTTTCCAAACTCAAATCTTGGGATTCAAATTTTGAAATTTGAATTTCCCTTTGTTCTTTCCAAATCTCCCAAATCCTGAAGCCATCAAATGTCTCCAACAAAAACATCAATTTTTCTTTGAATGCCCTTCCTTGGGCTCCTCTTGAGTTTATGAGTTCAAATGTCAAATTTAATTTGAATTCAAATTGAAAGTCATGATCATCAAATTCTGTTCCAAACTCTCCCTTGAAAATTCCCATGTGCTACTGTCCATATGGACCACATCATCCTCCCTCTTTCCTTCTGATCCTGGCCTGCAACCTTTTTATCCTCCTCCTCCGCACGGCCCATCACTCTGTCTCTCCACGGCCCATGTCCTCGCCTCCTCCCGCGTGCTGCTTGCTCACTCACAGCCACCATGCACTTCTTTAGTGTGTTGGCCAATAGACCAGGCCCACCCTGCGCCCGATAGCGGACGCGCGGCCGTCCCCTACCTGCCCACCGCCCGTTCGACGATGCGAGTGTGTGTCGGCCACCGAGCCATGCACGACCACGTCTCCTCCCACGCATGCAAGGCTCCATCCTAGGGGTAGCAATGCAGCCACATTCGGCCCCCAGACCTTAGGGCAACACATTCACATCAGTGGTGCCGGCGCATTAGCAGCCATCTGTCTTGCCATTCTCCCTTCTCCGATGAGCTCCCGTTCCCATTCCTTCCTCCTTCCTCTCCTTCCCGAAAATACCACAACCAACCATCACTGTCCCGAGCCTAATCCCCACCCCCAAATAATCGCCGCTGGCGACCAAACCCCGCCACCACCGAACCACCTCCCCCTCTTGCTGCCTGCCATCCCCCGTACCCTCTTATCCAATCCAAACTGTCCATCTTCATCGTCGACCCTCCCTCATTCCATTATCGTGCTCTGTTTCCCCTCCCACGACGCCGTTCGCTGTAAAACCGCCAGCCGCCATCGGTCGTCGATACAGTCCTAGGTCAACGCGGACCCAGACCACCGATGCGGCGTGGTTAGCCATGCGCTGCCTCACTCACTGTTAACAACGAAATTTTGTATCAGATTCGGAGAAGAAGGAACAAGATCGAAGTGGATTTGATGAAGAATTGAGTTGAGATCAAAGTTGGACCGCGCATTGGCTGGCATCGTTATTGATGGTCGTTACAAACCAAATTCGACGGTCAATATAACTAAAATAAAGGAGAATTAGCTATGCTTGCAATGCATATTTGTTTTAAAATAATATATTTCTATTTGTACTTGGATTCTATCTATCTATAGATAAAGAGATACAAAATGGAGGAGAGCCGGCAGCAAAACACTCGAACAATCAATCAGACGCTGTCAAGAATTAGACTTGTGGGGAAATGGGCCAGAAACTCAGAATTGACATGATCAAATAGGCCCATAACTCACTGATTTGGATTGAGGAGCCAAAGAGGAGATGGCCTGCTGAACAGGGGGCCTGTTGGGCCAGCCCATGTTCAGCCGAACCATAGGCCCCCTTAGCACCGCTGGATGAAGGGTTTTGATCTGACGGTGGGGATTTACTCCCAATGGCAGTTGGAGGGTATTACTAACCTTTCCAACTGCCACAACCGTTATTCTTCAGCTATAAAAGGGCTTCACCTCTACCACTCCTTCACACACTCAAGCAAGCTCAATTATCTCTTCTACACTTTAGTTTAGTATTCTAGTGTTAAGTGGAGTAGAATAGAATAGCTCCCGGAGTCATCGGAGTCTTCGGAGGAATTTTGGTATGGTTGTAATAGCTTTCCTTCTTTCTTTTGTAAGACTTTAACAATTGATGAAATATTCTTATTCATATGCTCTCGATACTTCAGTTCATCTAAGTATTGTTTTTACTTTATATCTGTATCGATACAACTGTATAGTTAGCCTACCAGCAAGGTACAATGGTGTGGGTTTAATGTTCGATTATTCGGTTGCTCTATGTTATCTCGAGGGATGTAGAGTATTATTTAATAATGTAGACGTGGTGTCTAGATTATTAAGTATCATTATCTAGGCATATATGGTACGGGTTAGTCGAGGTGGGCCGCTGATGGTGACAGCTCAGTACGGGTATTCCTCCACGATAGTATATATTCCTAAGAAACTTTCCTAGGGAGGGTACTCCTTCGTATTTAGCCCCGGTTGGACGGCCATGACAGGTTGTCGTAAGGAACTCGACAAGCCGCGGTGGTCTCTCGAAGCACTAGGAGGGCACTATTAGGGGGTATTGGCTATATAGTTGTATACTAGCAGATGTAGACTAAAGTTGGGTGTATATTATAATTATAGGAATCGATTGTTTTTCTATTTCTTCTTCCACTTAGTTTAGGAATGATTAAATGAGATACATGAGTGCTTTGCTTCGTGTCACTCTACCCATATAAATATCTTAACCCCTACTTAGACTTTGATTATGCAAGTGGCATGTATATATATTATTAGCATAGTTCTCTCTTACAATCTTCCCTTGGGATTAAATAAATAAGATACTTTCGAATACTCCTGGGTGAAATGCTACAATGGTATATCCGTGCACTTGCAGGTTCTTTCTGTAAACCATATATATACTAGGTCCATTTCTAGCATCATGGCTAGGAATTTATATTTCTAGTAGTATCATTAAGAAATACCAATAAGCATTTTTGGCGCCGTTGCCGGGGAAGATTAATAAAGAGATTACTATAAGCTAATAATTTATACACACCACCTCTGTATATATCACTGTCCTTTGTAGGCTAACCTTGGTTGTTTTCACTTTTCGTGTGAAAATAGGGTAGTGCACATCTGGTTTCAACTTGCCGGAAAATTTCAAAGACAATCCAGAGTCTTTCTTCTAGAATGTTAAGCCGCGAGTTAGAAAAATCACCTGACCAAGAAACCAACCATCCCCGCGTCACCGAGCTTGTAGAGTATGGCCGAGAAGACACTCCGCGAGTTCACTGCCCCCTCAGCTGACAACGTGCCCGTTGGGCCGCAAGTCAACTTGTGAGATGCATACTTTGATTTGAAGACCAGCCTCATCATGATGGCGCAGGCTAGCCCATTCTGTGGCAAGCTTAACGAGGATGCCAGTGATCATCTGCAAAGGTTCCTGGATATCTGCAGCACGTACACTATGAAAGGAGTCAGCCCAGATGTCGTCAGGCTCAGGCTATTCCCATTTTCCCTTCTTAGGAAAGCGAAGCAGTGGTTCTATGCCAACCGTGCTACAATCAACACCTGGGATACATGCTCAACGGCATTTCTATCTAAATTCTTCTCGATGGGCAGGACCAACACCCTTCGCGGAAAAATTTCAAGCTTCTAGCCGACGAGGGACGAGTCAATTCCTGCAGCATGGGAGAGACTGCAGGAGTAAGTGGTCGCCTGTCCTCATCATGGGATGGACGATGGCTGATCCTGCAGAGCTTCTACAATGGGCTCAAACCTGCATCCTGCGACCATTTGGACGCTGCTGATGGAGGGGCCTTCTTCTCCAAGACGGTCAGGGGAACCGTCAAGCTAATTAAGAAGATGGTCTCCAACATGGGCTGGGGTGCAGAACGACTCCAGACCCGCCAGCGAGGCATGCACACCGTCAAGGAGACGGAAATGCTCGCTGCAAAATTGGATCTCCTTATGAAACGGTTCGACGATCAAGAGAAGAAACCTTAGGTCACGTCAAGGCTATGGACTCGTATATGACATGTGAGGTCTGTGGCAGAACGGGTCACTCGGGGAATGACTACATTGAGACCCGTGAGGAGGAAATGTTCATGGGGAACAACAACAGGTTTCGTCCACAAGGAGGCCATGGGTGGAGCCAGCCCCGCCCATACTTCCAAGGAGGCAACAATAATAACGGTAATTTCAATAATCAACCTTAAAGGATCTTGTTTTCGCGCAAGCCAAAACCACTGATGCTCTTAGCAAAAAGCTGGCCACCTATGACAAGATCTTAGAGAACATATATGTTAAGCTAGAAGGCTTCCGCATTCCAAAACCAGCTAAGCTTCAACAAGATGATAGAGATACAGCTGGCACAGTTAGCTGCTCTAGTCGCTACAAATGAGTCTAGGAGGATTCTAGGACAACCCGAACCTTCCTTAGAGTATGTTAAGGCGATCACCATGAGCCGGGGAAAGTCTACTCGGGATCCGCCATATCCTAACCCTGCAGGAACACAGAGCAGTAACAAGGAGGCATCACCTGCTAGTCCGGCTGATACCGACAAAGCAGCTCAACCAAGTAAAATAGTGCCGCAAGAGTACTGCGACACATCGGCTGCTTCCGTTTCCCCAAAGATACAAGAAACCGTTAGTGGACGAGCAGTTCGCTCGTTTTGTTGAAGTAATTCAGAAGATCCACATACACGTGCCGCTGCTAGACACAATGCAAGTACCCACTTATGCACGATTCTGAACAAAAGAGATCGCTGCCAACAACGGAAGTGGTCATGCTGACAAAGGAGTGTAGCAATGCTATACTCTACCGGCTTCCGGAGAAGAAGAAAGATCCAGGGGTGTCCCACGATTACATGCTCAATCGGGACACAACTATTCGACCAGGCCCTCTGCGACCTTGGAGCAAGCGTCAGTGTAATGCCCAAAGAGGTCTTTGACAAGTTCAACTTCACGGTGTTGGCACCAACACCAATGTGTCTCCAACTGGCCGACTCGTCGGACCGCTACCTAGCAGGGATTGCGGAGGACGTGCCGGTCAAGATTTGAGACTTCTTCATCCCGGTCAATTTCGTGGTGCTAGATATGGACTCGGATAAGGAAACACCGCTCATTCTTGGGCATCCGCCTCTGAGCACCGCCGAAGCCAACATAGACATGGGAGTAGGCAGCAAACGTTTCCACATCAACGAGAAAGAGAATTTTGAGTTTCGGCTAAGGATGAAACAATGCTCCACGGTGAGGATCAAGTACGGGCCGAATCCATAGAATATTAAAGAGGTCTAAGTGAAGCCGCCCAAGATGGATAACCTCATGCATTCATGAAGAACTTCCTAGAGAAGGAAGTGTCAATGAACAGGCCCTGTCCAAAGAAGACACCGGTGAAAACTAGTGCACTGGCAAAGCAGCCTGATGAAGCATGTATGCCCCCGTTGTTAATTTGGTAATTAATGACAAGCACTAATTGTGGACTAACCGTTCTATTGAGTTACATATTTTACGTTAGGATCACATAATGTGTGCATATGGATGATTATCGCGGACTAAAATTGATGGCGCAAACCAAAAGGAAAAGAAGACGGTAAACTAGTGTTTTAATTGTAAATTGATCGAGGAGTTGTGCGATCAAAATTTGCTAGTTTATTTTTAGCTTCGCTATACTATTATGGGGTGTAATGACCTAGACAAAGAGATGATCGAAATGCCACATTAGGTCATTTGCATTTAGACTTGTGCTCAATTTATATACATTTGAGATTGTCTGACTAGGGCCGGTCTGACCGAGGCATAGATGCCGGTCTGACCGATGGGTAGCGGCCGGACTAACCGTCGGGTTAACCACGGTCTGACCGCCCCCCTGGAGGTTGGCGGTGGTGCTTTGGGGAGGGGATCCAGAGCCGCAGCCGGTCAGACCGGTAGCACACTGAGTTGGGAGATTTCGCCCCCGACGGCTAGTTTTGGTTGGTGGGAGTATAAATACTCACCCACCAGCAACAAGGGGTCTCTCTTGGCACTTGCTTCACTTGCATACACCCCTTGCATCTCTCCCACACTCAATTAAGCTTTGTGTTCATGCATGTCACACCCAGAGTTTTCCCTTCCCTTAGATTTCAAATCACTAATAATTGACTTCAAGAATTTGCTTTGGTTAACCAGGATAAAACCCTAGTTAACGATACATTTAATAATCGGAATTGTCAGGGAGAATTTTTTTCGAATTCTCTTTGCTCTGTAAACCGCTAACAGGACTTAAAGAGTAAATATCAGATCACCGGAGGCAATGTTGCTAAGTTAAAAAGTGTCAAGCTAATCTCCTTCCTTTACCTTTGGTCGTGAATTGTGCCCAATTCACTCCCCTCTCAGTCCGCACTTTCCTTTTGCATGACGAACCGTATTCGTGTCAGTTCGTGGGATCGTTTCTTTTCCTTTCCTAAAACAGCATCGCATTGTTTTTCCTTTTCGGGAAAGACCTAGTCTCCCCTAGTTTCCATTTCCCTCCCCCTCTCCCCAACCAGCCATGCCCCCTCCCCTACTCGCATGCGCGCCCCTCCTCCCCTCTTATCCGGCTCCCTCCCCTCCTCCTAGTCCTACTTCCTCTACGACTCCACCATTCCTAATCCAACCCTCTCCTATATGTGTGTCCTCCCCTTGTTTTTTTTTGTTTTTCCCGAGTCCTAGTCGCAAGCCGCCACCGCCGCTTGCTGTGCCGCCGCCGCCGGCCGGTGCCGCCGCCGCCGTCGCCACCGTTGCGTCGCCGGTACTCCGTTCCCCCTCCCCTTTAGATGTATTTGGTCCTGCACTCATCAATTCATCTATCTAATTCCTTCCGTTCAATCTTTTCCAGCGTCGTCGTCGTCGATCCCGAGCTCGCCGCCAGAACCGCCGCCGCCGTCACCGTCCTTTCTCCGCTCATCGTTGTTCTCCGGTGAGGTTCTCCGTCCTTTTAGGGTTAAGATTTTTCTGTTCCTAGCGTTTGTGTCATGTGTCGTTGCCCTATCCCTAGAGCTGAGCCGTCCCGCTGTTGGCGGTTATTAAATGCCAATTTTATACCGCCAACATCTGCATAAAGTCCAGATAATAAAACATCCAACATAGTGATAGGTGTTAAATCTCACATATTTCACAAGTGTTAGGAGGAAAATCAGACTAAAGTGTGGGAGAAATATGTATCCATACAAGGATGGTTTGTGAACTTCATCAAAATACCAAAGAATCAGTCCAACACTCCCAGAAATGGATAGAGGAGGACCAGGGAAGAGATGGGTCGAAGGCCAGGCCAGGTGGGCCCAGCCCAGGTTCGGCCGAACCCGAGCCAGGGGTCTCAGCCGTTCAAGCTGGGGTTTGGCATGGACGTCCCAGATTACTCCCTGATGGCGATTGCGGGGCAATTCAGACAATTCACATAAGGATAACCGTCATACGTACCTCTATATAAGGAGCTTCACTCCTTCACTCACACACACTACCAAGCTTGAGCTGAATTGTAAGAGGCTCTATTGTACTATATTGTATACTAGAATAGGAAGAGAGTAGAGTAGAAGAAGTCGGAAGAATTCCGGAGTTGTCGGTAATCTTCTCTCATTTATTTTATTCTGTTTATTACTCTGATTTCAATAGAGTTATCTTCCTGAGTAATTTAGATTTATCTTGTGAGATTTATCTCTTGGTTAGTTCCTAAATAGCATAGGGGATTATTGTTCACTATAATCAACTAAAATATAGTGATTGCTTTAGTGAGTTATAAGCACTAAAGTAGATCTTAATTGCTTAGACGTGGTGTTTAGGTAATTGTTATCCAATAATTGATGTGTATCCCGCAGTACGTTTGAGGTAGATGTAGAGGTGGTGACAGCCCTCGAGATCACTTAAGTTCTCCCTGTCCGGGTACGTAGTAGAGCAACATCTGGGAACAGTGGGTTGCCAGTGCCTGAAGTATTGTGTTAGGATTAAACTTAAGCTTACCCTAGACACACTGATTCTCACTAGTAAATCCTCTCTATACTAGCCTATCTTTGCTTGGTGTCCTTGGATGAACCGGAGAAAAGGTCTGATCACATACGTTCCCTTGGATTCGATACCCATAGAATAGTCCATAGGGGAAGTGCTACATCGGCATATCCATGCGCTTGCGGATTTCTATCTGTGACCGTAAGAATTACCAACAAGCATTTCTGGCGCTGTTGCCAGGTAACGGTTGCTGATCATTTCCGAACCCAGTTCATCCTCGTATCTCTTTTCATTTTCTATTCTACCTTTACCCCTGCTACCCAGAGAAGTATTCCTGTCAAACTCTTCTCGACTATGGAGCAACCTCTCTTCGAGCTGTCTGTTCCTAGGGGCGAATTCTATGAGCCACTTCCTTCATTGGAGCCAATTTATACATCTGGCTATGAAATTCGCCCCGAACTAATCAGTATGGTTAGGGAAAACTCTTTCTGGCCTTGATCTAGAAAATCCCTACCATCACATATAGGACTTTGAGCAAGTCTGCTCATGCCTTCAGATTCGTAGCATGAAGGAAGAAACTGTATGGTGGAAATTTGTCACGCCCGGAATTTCTATCCAAAATTCCAAACGCTTACATGTGTGTGAACCCTCGTCCAGGAATCAGCCGAGGCACACAATAACAAATTGATAATAGAGTACAATTATTACTCTAATTAATAAGCAAATAAAATGTCATTACAGAGGTAGATAGTTCCTCTCAATCAATAAAGATCTAAG